AAGAGAAGAGGGAGAGAGAGAGAGAGAGAGAGAGAGAGAGAGAAGAGAGAGAGCGCCTTCATGTTCCGACTCTGGAGGTGGTGGTGCGGAACTGCGGGATGATAGCCCTTCACCGTAATTCGACCTCGGCTGCGGCACTTCATGACGGAACATACCGGCGCTGCTGTCCCGAGCGATATCTCGGACGGCGACGCATAGCTGCAACCGGCAAAACGTCAGGGAAATCGCCCGAGTTCCCTATGACATTTTCCCCAAACCGGTCTTGAAGCTCCACCAAATAGTTGTTTGCAACATTTGCCTGGCTCCGGGTAGCGCAAAAACAACAGGCAGGATTTTCCACCTTGCTTGCAAACATGCACGGAACACCGTCAAGCTGAGCGACTTCTGCAGAATCACGTTCACCACACGCACCTTGCACACTGACACTGCGGGCAGTCGCTGATTGAAACAAACTCGCCCCGGACCTCGGCCACTGATAAAGGATCTGATGGCCTCCCTCTCCACACAACCTGTATGACCACCGAGCCGACATCGGACAACTCCGAGTCTGAGCGGATCTGGCCATCCTTTCACACATTCGACGGCGCAAGCGAGCGCACAGTTGCAGCAGTTGTAAAGGAGGCCTCGTCCAGAAAATGAGCGACGATCGCAGACACCCCGCTGTCCGCGCGGCCCTGTAGCTTCTCGCAGATGGTGGTGACCACCTTTGCCACTTCCTGTCAACGAGCTCTAGCTCCGCAACGTGGCATTATTCTTAAGCCATTGCTTCTGTCCTCCATGCTTTGGCACCTAACACAGCACGACAAAATCCCACTGCCGGGGCTCAACCTCAGAACAGTGAATGAATCCTTCACGTCAGAGTGCAATGCAACAGCCACACAGTGAGACGCACACTCGGGGGACAAGACCATCTTTTGCAGCATGCGAGTGGACCCACATGCACCCACCAGTCTGGCCTTGACAGCTTCTGCCTATCAGCCCTTGACTCCCTTGACCACAGCTTTCCAGTACCTCATCAACCTCGGCACCAGTGGCACCAACCTGCACAGTACAAACACGGCAGACTATAGGAGGGGCGCGTAGACCTGGAATAGCTGGGATGCTGGCCACCTGCCGACAAAATGCCTCAAACCATGGCCTCGGTGGCCAGGAGACATTCGCCTCTTTCATGTGCATAGACACATACATATACAGTCATACATATACATATATGTATATGTGTGTATAAACTGAGCCAAGGTGTATGCGCGTGCTGAAATGTTGGAATGCTGGAAAAAATAGCGCAGGTTGATGTACTGGCCGGTCTGTGCCTTGGTGTGATAGTGGAAAACTTTGAGCAAAATGGTCAGACCTTGCAGCCATAGTGCTAATTGAAAAGGTCATGTGACAGTTGTTCGACATATGGTAAGATAACTCGGAGAATCGCTCTGCATTGGTCTAGGCTCTCTGTGTTAGAGCGGAAGTCGCGGCCGCTTTGGTGCGTCAAAGCCTGTGGCTCGCTGTAGCAGCCACTCGGTCATCTGAGAGATGATGGCGACCAACTTGATGAGAGCGGAGTTGCTGAATCTGTCAATGGTTTTGTACGAAATGCCCCAAGCGATTGCTGCTGCATGTGCGCTGTTTTCTTGTTCGGTAGTGAGTGTTGGAAGGGCTTTTGCCGTAGCATCAAGGAATTGCTTGCATTGTCGTCGTTGTTTGTCTGAAATCCCTTTCAGGGCTCCGAACCATCGCCGCATAATTCGACTTTTATGTGGACTTCAGAAAAATTATTCTGGAACCAACGGCTGGGTTGCTTCGGTTGCTGGAGAATCTGCTGTGGATCAGGATGTTTGACTGCTGCATTGTTGGTAGACCCGGGGGTAAGCGTCGATTGTCGCTGCTTTTTGGCTCCAAGCATAGTTTTGCCTGGGAAATGTCGGCCTGTACGGGAGTTGGGTGTACTGATGTCCGGGCTGGATGCCGTTGGGTCGGGGTCGTTCGGCGCCGGCTATTCTAGGTTGAAGGCTTGGGCAGACGCACTCCGAGCTGAATCGGAGTTGGGCGAAGACGAGCGTTTGCGGCCCGTGCTTTGGTTGGTTGTGTGGTGTAAATGCTGACGACTGGTTGGGTCAGCGCTGTTGGAAGGGGAAGGTGGTGCGATGATGTTTCTGGGTGGCGGCTGATTGGCAATTGGCTTGGGTTGGCGGCTGGTTGTTCCTGCCTGCTTGTCTTTGAGTTGTTGTGTCGTGTCCTGTGTGTTAGCCAACCTAGCTTCTAAATCACTGATGCGGTGAGCTGCGTGGACGTCCGTGGATCTAGGTGGCTGGCAAGACGCCGATGAAGGGCCTTTGTTGTCTGCCGCTCCCTCGGTGTCCGGGTGGTTGGTTGATGTCGTTGGTTTGTCTGTTGGCTGTGATGCTTGCGGTGGAGTTGAGGCGCCGTTGTAATTGCCCTGTAGTTCCTGCATATAGCTGACAAGGTTTTTTTGACAAGTTGTGTCATAGCTGGCTTTTTGGCCAGGTTGAACTTTTGTTCCCGACAAGATGCTGTTGCTACGTGGTCGAGACAAATATGCTTGTCCTCTTGTCCCATGCAGAGGCAGAGCCACACCATGTTACACTGAGCAGGGCTGAGGCTGCAGCTTCATTCTTGCAGCTCCGATGTATGCGGCGGCAACCGACTGCCACAATAATTTGGTGGAGTGGTTCCCATCGCAGCATCAAGGCACATCAAACCACACAGAGTCTTCGTCAGCTGTCCGTATCATATTCCACCCCGCCTTGGCCAGGGAGTCCCGTGCATTCGTCGCTTCTGACTGGCGAAGCCTTGACATGGGTCTGTGGGATGTAGTTGGACGGCTGGACGGTGGACACTTGAGGACCTCACTCCTGGGAGAGCTGATGTGTCGGCAGGGAACCAGACACCGACTCGCAGATTCTGACCTTCAGCTGTGCTATAGGCTAAGACTCTTGCTGAGACCTGACACTCTCCTGAGTGTTAAGAACTGGACTATCGCCTCATAACACGGGTCATCCATGGCAGCAGCCAAAACTTTGACATCTTCGGCCTGATCCAACAAAAATCAAGCTGCGAGACGTCCACGTCCATGCAAGCCCAGCCTCAAACCGTGTCTGTTCGGAAAGGTCAACCTCCAAATATGTCCACACCATGTCTCACGGTCTGTCTTCAATTCATTTCGCCGCTGGCTACTGAACCTCCCGGCCTTCCAGATCTGACTCGCCGTTCTGATAAAGGTGCTGACAAGGCCAGCTCCCTGCTCTAGCAGCTGCGCGAAGCGTTCACAGTCACCTGCACAAATTCTCGCCTCAAGACCTCATCCACACGGTGTTCACTGGGTCCACTGGACCCTGGCCTGTAGGATCCATCTCTTGCTCTGGCTCTGGCTCTCCCGGGTCAGAGACGCCTGTGCCGGGCTCGACTGTGCTGTCGCGTGCCACAGGTCCTCCGTGTATTGTGAGCCTTCCGTGTCTTGGAAGTTCGTCTCCATTTTGAGGATGACATCACGAAGGGCCGCGAAGATCACACCACAGGGTTTTGAAAACAACACCTCTCACAGCAGACCTAAAATGATGGCCGGAAATCGTGAACGCACTAAGTTTGTCCCGATATCGAGCCTCCTCGGGCTGCGCAGGCTTCACTGGCATCCAACTCCTGCAGGTTCAGAAGCTCCCCATTTGCACATTGCAGCTCTGCCCTGTACCTCACCATTCCAGATGACGGAATCTGACAGCACAGAGCATTGGTCACATTGTGACCAAAAATCAGCGAGGCCTCCGAGCAAAATCGACATCGACATTGCTCTACGACATGCGCGGAGCAAATTGAAAATGCGTGTGCTCCGGTCCTGCGGATTTCTCCTGAATGCGTCGAGGTCTGAGAAATCGACCGCGGATAAACTTTTTGGCTCAGTGTCGTGCCCGTCCACTGGCAGCACCTGCGCGACTGACAATGGTACGCAGTCAACAACACAGCAATTTCTCGGACTGGCATGCTCGAGAATTCCTCTGCCACACGGCATTTGTACTCTGGGGTGTGTCACTCGTGCCGGTCACAGCCACATGTTCTGACCCAGCTGGCCCCCGCCTCCACCTCCCCCAAAGATTGACCCGTTGTGAAGTTCGGCAAGACGGTGTAGATTGTTTCCATCTACTTGACCCGAGCAGTGAACAAAGCAGTGCGTTTTCACAGCTGTGGAGGCCAGTGGCGAGTAACGTAGGTTCTTAAGCGTTCAGAGGCTGCATATGTGAATTCGGTGCCCTGCGCTGGTCACCTACACGCGTAATTTAATGCTGGTGCAGGTGCTAAAACCTGCGGACAAGGTCCAAAGTCTGCTTGTCTTGCCCTAACCTCAAAGCCTCAAGGCTCCAAACCCCCAGCCTCATTATGCCACTGCAGAATCTTAATTTCAGTCTGTGAAACCCGCAAAGAACATACAAAACATCAAGCAGACAGACGTGATCAAGAGCAACTGTGGACGTCGCTAACGTTGCCGCCTGGACGCCCTCGAATTGATGCATCGCTCCACGCCAAGGCAGCCGGAAGACCCCTTGAGAATTCAATCAGATGACATTGCTCGAGCACCGGCGGCACCGCAGCTGCCGCAGCTAGGGAGGCGGCCATCAATTTGAACGCTCTCTCCGCTTGCCTGCTCCACCTGGCCACAAGCTGACTTGAGCTCGTTGTAAGTCCAAGGGCGATGGATCTGCTCTCACGCAGGCCTGTCCACGCAAAGGGCGCGCTGACGACGGTACGCCGTTGTTTTGTTGGACGTAGTCGGCCATGACTACCTGTTCAGCACTTGGCATCAGAGCCTGCTCCTGAGCCGTTCCTACACCACTAAGTGAGCCCAATACGGCAGTGCCGCCAGGTCGATCAATGCACCACAGGCGAACGACCTTGATTCCGAAACATTCTCGCTGCAGGCTCTGGCAAAATCTGTTGCACAGCTGCCAAGAGTATGGCAGCATCGCCGGCGAGAACAATCCGAGCGGTACGACGTGTAAGAACTAGCCTCAGGTCCTGGCAAGTATTCCGCAACTCCTATGGATTGCCATACAAACGAAGTGCTAGCCTGAGTTTCCATGACCGGGTGCTTCACAGTGATGCGCATCTCTGTCTTTAATGGCACCTGGAATCGGCACAACATCAGAACTCGAATCACAAGGTGGGATTCGCAGATGGTTGTTTCAGACAGACAAAAACCACGTTTGCATGCCGGAAACTGGCTGGGACCAAGGTCGGGACACCTTCAACTTGGCAAAGACCATCCTGTGCACAGAAGTGCATCACCTGAGCTCAGCACATGCTACGCAGATGCATTCTCCCAATGGAGAAGTCCTTCCGAGCCAACCACCGATTCTCCAGCACTACTGTTGAAATTCCTGCCACATGCGACATTTACGGCTGGGCGCCAAAAGGAAGGATAAAAACGCCTATGTTGCCACATCACGTGACTGACTTCAGTTCCGAGCTTTGTCCAAAAGCTTCAGAACGTCTTTTTGCACGTCGTGGCAACAGAAGTCCGCAAATACAACACTGCCGCGAACCTGCTCGGAGGAGTTCTGAAGCCTGGACATGCAACGCCATCCAACATTGAATTTAACTTGACAGTGAAGTTGACAAAAGCTGAGTATTCAGCTGATTTCAATATCAAAGTCTGGCAACAGCTGACCACCAGCCAGCACCACCTGTGCAATGGAGCTGCCTGAAGCGAAAATGAGATGTCAAGGTAATTGACTTTTGCGCCTTCATTTCCACAATGCCGCGCGGCACCCTTGGTAGCACATCAAATCTGTGCGATGAAACCATCCAGCAAAGGTAGGTTTTGACAGGCCCACGCAAATCCGCTAATCTTCTGGGAAGAATGTCTTGAGTTAACCTGGCTCCATCCGAGGCTTTCGCTGTCCAACAATCCAGTGTCGAGGCTCTTAAGGTACCCGCCAAGCATTCGAAGCCAACTTGGAGTGCAACAACCTGCTCACGACAAACCAGCCAGGAAACCAACTTTTCGGCAAGGTGAACTAAGCGTCGCGCACAACACTGTACCCACAAGGTAGCTCCAACGTCGCCTGCGTGCTTGACAGGTCGAAAACATAATGCGAAGCAATTCGCGAGTTTCAAGCCTTTGGCCATTGACAACCAAAACCCAAAACGCACAGTGCTGTCGTTGGTATGTAGGTCGCTAGAGGTGTTGCTAAAGGGGTCGTCGGCTTCTCGTCCAGGTCTCTACTGCTTGTGTTCAGACATGAACGGAGAGCTCTCGTAAGCAGCTCCTACCAGCCAACAAACTGAGCTTTGCACTCCACATGTTGGGCTCCCTTAGCAAGAACACACCCCTGCAACGCGCACAAACCCAAAAATCAACACGCCAAAGTGTTTCTTTCCAGGCCCGATACATTCTGGAGTGACGACATCGCCTCAACATGCGCACTGCTGCACGATTCCACACAACATCTGAGACAAGCTGCGCAGGAACTTTGCAAAACTGCAGAAGAGCCTGGAAATCGAAGTCGTTCACGAGACCTGTCAGTAGATGTGTTTCGCTGCGGATGTTTTTTGCAAACACACCCTCGGTTCGACATGCCAACATGCGAACAAGGCTTCGGCAGCTTGAGCCCGACTGGCGGAACCAAGAGGTATACCTGGCCACCAATTCGGGAATGTAGACCAATAGACTAGCCCATCTTTTGTCTCGCCTCGAATGCGCCTACCCGGGAACCATGATGCCAAATGTCTTGGCCGAGCTCCTCTCAACGCGTCAGTCAATGAAAAGAGTAGCGGCAGCAAATAAACAAAGCTGGAAATGACTTAGCCAGGAACGTAGGAATTGGACAGGCAGCGAGGCTTCACCTCTCAATCAAGGACATGCAAGCTGTTTCTGTATCAAAGGCTTGCCTCCAGCTTGCATGGTAGCTTCATGCTACCCAGAACAACGTCGGATAAATCTTGCAAGATTTGCCTCAAACAGTACAATCATTCAGCTTTGCCAAGCGCGGCTAACACGCATCACGGCAAGAGCTCGGCTCAAGGATCGATGCAGCTCGCTTTAAATATTCTTCTTCGTCATGTCCTGACCGACAAGTTGCACTGAAAAACCGTGTACAACTGAAGACAACGTGCGAAGCTAAGGCCATGACGGGTTGACAGAGCATGATGAATCCCGCAACTGTGACAATGCTCCACAATAGCATACATACCCTTGGCTTCTTCAACCTGAGCAAGTACGTGTCTCTTTCGGGCCACCCATCGAAAAACATCTCAGCTCTCGGCTGCGATGCCTTCATGTTCTAAGGCCTAGGCATCGGATGTGCTGGGCAGGCGCCCGTGACTTTTAATTCGATCCGAACATGCACATCTCGGTGCCAAGCTAAAACTTTCAACTCACGCTCAAGGCTCTCGGCAACATGGCTGTCCACAGTGCTGTAAGCATCCTCTTCACCACAAACCGTGCGCACATGCTGCAAGCCACACTGAGCTTAAGCGAATAACCGCAACGGATTAACGCACGTCCCGAAGCTCGCGAACTTGTGCTGGCAATCCTGGCCTGCAACATGCGAACTCGACATGAAGCTGGAAGGCATATTGCTGCACCCAACCCTGATGGGACTTCCGGGGCTCTGGCAGAAGCGGTCGCTTGCGATGCGCTTTGGTGGAAGAAAGTTGCGACCGCAAGGTTGCTGTGGAATTCGACGAGTGCAATCCCTCGACATCAGTCCATCAATCTATCACTCCCCGGACACCTCTCGCCAGACATGACTGCCGGACAATGCTGCTGGAAAAGCTGAAAAGGACCCGTGTTTGATAGCTCGGTCAGCCAAGCGCAACACGACCGTAGCACGAGGGCTGAATGATGTGGACCACGTGTCCTGCACAACTCCCAAAACCAAATCAGACGAAATGTTCACTGTTTGCTCCTGCATAATCCTCGAACAAGCGCTTTCGGTCCGCACCCCGGGGATGAGTTCCGTTGGATGGGTTTCACTCCACCGAGTCGATGTTGATCGGCCATAAGAATGGGCTGCCACTAGTACTTTGGCGGGCAACTTCTCATGCCGCGACACCAGTAACACATGACCAGGCCCGAGGAAGCGATCGTCTCTGCCAACCTCTTGCTCCCAAGCTCAGGGAGCAGGAACAGATGTCCGACATGCTTTTTTCCCGAAGGCATCTCGCGAAGGGCTCTTCCGTGCAGAGCCCTTCAGTTAAGTACATAGGCAGGGCAAGGAGGCTGGTCGCGAAGGCACAGGCAACAGCGAAGGCGAGCAGGGCGGACCACNNACTCTGCAGTGGTGGGGGTGCAAACCGGGCGCGGCAGCGGGCCATGAGCCGGAGCAAGGTAGCAGCCTCGGCGCACCACCCCCCAACCGGTTTCTATGCCGAGCACGACGAGGCGGCAGCGGCCGGAGTTGCCGAGTTCTGGATACGTGCGTTCTTTCGCCCGGCGAGCGTGGTGCAGGGCAGCTTCGGCAGTACGCCTGCTCTCACGCCGAGCCTCACCGGCTGCAGTCAAGGGCGACGCGAGGGTGGTCTCACTGTCGACTGCAACCTGGACCCCTACTGCACCCGCGGGGCTGCGCAGCATCAGAGAAGCAGCCAGCTGGTCTGGGCGTCGTGTATGGCAGGAATCGTTTGGAGGAGACCGGCATGGCGGGCGAGCGACTGTTGCAAGTGCGACTCGATGAAGGCCGGACTGCCGAGGGGCACGGCAAAGCAACGAGGCCATGCTGTTCCGGGCTCAACGCAGGATCACCAACCCACACAACCGAGTCAGGAGCGAGTTGCGGGACGGCCCGCATTCCACACACGAGTCTTGGAGGCATTCAAGCGCAGTCGGGCCCGTTGCCAGATTAGGTCCTCGAGACGGCGGTGCAGCAATGCGACCGGTCGGGTGAGGCAAGCATGTAGACATCATCGAGGTATGCTAGCACTTGCTCAGTGGGGCGGAGCTCCCGTTGGAGGTCATGGAGAGCCGGAGCGAGAGCGACCGAAAAAAGGGCCGGCACGAGGGGGTCACCTTGTTCGCCGCCCTCCGACTGGCAGATGCGGTGCGAATGCTCTCCGGCGCACCAGAGGTAGATAGACTCGTGCACATACCACAAGCGGGCGAAAGGCAGTAAGGGGGAGAGAGCCGGCGACTCCCTCACTGCAGTCCGCATCGCCTCGCGGCTGACAAGGTCATATGTGGCCGTGGCGAACAACAAGAAGCGTGCCAATGGCGGGGAGCCCGCAAGGGCAGGACCCCGAGGCGACCTCGCACCGGAGCCCGTGAAGGGCGGAAACCCGCAACGGGCAAAAAGCCCGCGAAGAGCAGGGAGCCCGCGAGAGCAGGAAGCCCGCGAAGGGCAGGAAACCCGAAAAGGGCAGGAACCCCCCCCACCCTGTCTACACCTCCACCTCCAACAAAATTGGCTGACACTATTTTTCCGGCTCCTATAATGGGGTCACGGCGAAGGGTGGAAATAATCTCGGGGGTTCGGAACACGTGCCAAGGGGGCAAGAAAACAATATCGGGTGGCTGAAAAATCACACGTAACTATGAGCGCCGAAAAAATGAAGAGCCCCTTCTGCAGCAAGTCGCCGCTTTGCATCACCGCGGAGCCCCTGTGTCGGGGCCCTCCGCCCACCCTCCTCCTGTAGCGCCTCAGTGTCTACACACCAGCATCTCTACATCACCCCATTCTAACAGCTAAAATGGGGGGGTGTAGAGCTGAAATAGACCCGCGTGGCTCGATTTTATGATTATGTTGGCATCCGGTCATGATGTAGGCTCGTGTGGGCTGAAATAGGGCGATGTAGGCTCCAACAAGTTGCTTGCCAACGGTCTCATGTCGTCCGGCTCCTGGCAACGAGCGACCGCCCGGCGTCGCCCAACCCCCCCTTCCCCTTTATTCGACTCTGCGACCCGAGGCCCGAGAGGGTGTGCTTTCTAGAGCTGCTTTACACGGCTGGAGCTAACCCGAGTTTTCGGCTCGAGATCGGGGGTTTGCTTTCTACGACACGAGAGCTGCTTTACACGGCTGGAGCGAACCCGAGTTTGGGCTGAAATACATGATGTAGGCTCCAAGTACACGGAACATGTGACCCTGGCTGAAATGGCCGATGTAAGCTGAAATGGGACCATGTAGGTTTTATAAGGTCGATTTCAGCTCCAGCTGGAATCGTTTCCGAACGATGTAGCAGCGCCCAAAAAAGCCAGCATCAAGCAACGGGGCCGTTTCTCAGCCGGGGTGTTCTGGCGCAGCCGTGTTGCCTATTCCGTGTGCCTCCGCGCCGGGGCGTATTGCGTCAGTGCCTGGTGCCTGCGGCTTGCCTTTGGTTTCGTCCTGTGAGCATGCGATTCGTCCCCTGACCGGACTGGAGCCGGGCAAGGAAGCTCCTACTTTTCGCCCCTCCCGTGTTGCTCCACCGTCCCAGGGGAGGCAGCCGACTTGAGAAAGCCGTGCTGCTTGCACGATTCCAAGCCTTCCTACACGGGGATTGGGCGCCGTGGCTTCACGAAGCCTTATGACAACCGTTGTCGCACGACCACCAGTTGCGTGAGCCTGGCACTGAAGCGCGTGCCCACCGTGCCACACACGTAGCCCACCTTGGCAATCTGTCGGCCGCTAGGCAAGCCTTGTTGGCAGACCCGTTCCCCCTTCACCCGAAGCCCTTACACTCCTCTTGACCCTGATTTTGCTGCATGGGAGCCTCGTGTGCCCATCGTACTACACCACGTTGCACTCCCTGCCAACCTTCGCCGTGCGCGCAAAAGGGCTGCCTCAGGCCCATCCGGCCTCACGGCGGAAATTTTTTTTTTCCCCAAGCAGGCAGCTGTGCACATGACGGAGTCGGGCAGCCCATCACTCCCGCGTTCAGCGCAGCGGGAGGCGGCTCGGGC